ATATTACCGCCAGTGGCTGTGCAATGACGTCAGCCAGTGCCTTCAGTACTCTCGGATGGAGCTCATCCGGGCCTGCCGACTTAAAGGCATCCAGTTCCTCCAAGTGACTCTGCACCATCTCAGGGTCTACGTGTGGCAGTCTGGTGCCTTGCTGCTGTCTCTCTACATCCCCAGTGAGAGCCTTGTCGTGCCCCTCGCTTAGGAACACTGAGGCAAAGAACTCATTGAGGAGTTCAGCCTTGTCCCCCCTGTCCGTCACCAATTGCTTCTGCCCATTTAGCAGGGGTCCTATTCCACCCTGGGCCTTCCTTTAACTCCCTATATATCTAAAAAACAATTTTTTGTTATCCTTTACTTGGGATGCCATCCTCAGCTCCATGGTAGCTTTGGCCCGTCTAACTGCCTCCCTACAAGTACAAGCAGAGGAGGTATACTTCTCTTTGGTAATCTCTCCCCGTTTCCACTTTTTATATGCTCCCCTTTTAGTCCGCAGGCTGCCCTGGATTTCTCTGGTCAGCCAAGGAAGCCTCCTGGCCCCTTTCCCTCTTTTTCTTCGCAAATTGCCCAATTAACATCCTCAAGTAACCAAATATTGCAACTAACTGTATACAAAAGACTCTTAATAGCTTCATTTGTTGATAAGATGATACCTGAAGATCAGGAAAAAATTGACCAAGCTCCTGCAAGAGCAATATATTCTTCTGGGACGCTGTGATGGCTGTATGTGTTGTAGGGCTTGCTACCACTACCCTGAGCTCGTCTGCCTACAGGTTGGACCTTGGCTTTGGATCACCTGGTCTGCCAGGAAGTTGGTCTTATGTTTTCTTTCCTACCACGACTTGGATAAAATACATTCCCAGGAGGCACTGCCCGCGATGATCCGGCCTGGTTTTGATCCCTGTTTTCTTCTGTGGGGCTCCAAACCTCCCCCTTACCCCAGCCTAGCCTCTCCAGATGGTACTCAAAAAATTCTTCTGCAGCCAGGTCGCAGTGCTGCCTGTTGTGGTATTATTTGGCCCTCTACCCCAGGGTGAC